TTTTGTTGGCCTTTGTTGTTGTTGTTGTTTTGGTTTTGGCTTTGGTTTTCCACTAGTGATGATCCCGCTGTCTCCTGCCCCTAGAGCCCACCCACAAAAGCGTGTTATTCTTGACCTTGAGGATTTTACTCAGTTACGCACAGGGAAGCATCCTGGATAATCAACTCATACACAAACCATTAAAGAGTTACAAGAAGCAGCTCCTTACCTCACTCTTTATCTTCCTCTCCCTGTGCTGTCTCCCCTCCGCATCTCTGAGTCTCAGACTTTAAAAACTGCACTCCATGCGCCTCCCCTACTGCACATAGCAGCTGAGCCAAGCCTGCTGTAAACACACTAACTACACTTAGGGTATCCCAGAGTGGAGCATCACGGGAGTATTTTTCTACATTTTGCTAGCTCAGGACAAAGTCAAAGTGCAAAGAACAGTTTCTTCTGAAATGACATTGTTTTCACACTTTCGGAAAGCAAAACAAAAAACGTCATAAATCGAGCCATCATAAACCAGTGACCATCTGTACTCTTAGTCTCCTCTGTAATATCAAATACAATAATAATTACAAGTATTATCATAAGCTCTGTGTATACGTAAGAGGACAATGGGGCTGTGCCAGGGGTACCAGCTGGGAGCAAACCAATTGAAGAAAATAGAGACCGCTAGCACTGTCTGCCCGGACGTTCCAGCACGAGCCTCCACTTGGCAAACCTTTGCTGTCACACCACCCTAGCCGCTGGCAGAAGCGGCTGAATTGTTTAAAAGCTCCTTCAGTTCTTCAACATGCAGTGTGGTTCCAAATGACCCCTTCTGAACTATGAATTGGAACAACAAAGCCACAGTAAGGCTTTTTCTTTTCCTTTTAAAAATGTATATTAAGGGAATAAATTACATGCATTTCCTAAAGACAGTTTTTACAGCATAATGCCAGCTCCAACCCAACACTCCCTCCCATTCTCAACCCCCTGCTCCTTTCTCCTGCTTCTCTTTCTTTTAATGTTTCTATAACATACTTTCAGGGTTTTTTTTTTTAATCATCATGTTTAACCCTCTCCACATTCTGCACCATATTAAAGGGACAGATATGACTCTCACAATGATTTCTTTCTCTTACTAAAATTAGAAATGTTTATAATTTTAATAATGACTATCTTTATTCCCAGCTTCAAAACCTACCAGGCACCTCCAGCGTGGGGTCCTTCCAGGAGGGCCTGCTGAGGAGGGAGGAGATCAGGCCCCAGGCACCAAAGCGTATTTCAAACACCCTTCTCCTGCCCAGCTCTCTGGCCCTCTTGGCCACATCTCTCATTTGGACAGTTCACATTCAGTGTTTGTCACATACTCTGTTCGCGAGGCTTGACTCGGTGTCTAGCAATGCTGGCACTGAACAGACCCTCAGTAAATGTGAATAAGAGAGCTGGTGCTGACGCGTGCTCCAAAGCGAAGTCTGCCCTCCGCACAGACAAGGGGAGAAGACGCCACCGTGGAAATGGCACAAGGCAGCCAGACAACAGTGTAAGCAGATCAGACCTCTGCGGACACAGTTCAGACCCCAGGACCACAAAGAACAACACAATGTTTACACTCAGGACGAGAAAGTAATTTGCTCACTTTTATTGGCAAAGTTCATCACGTGTCGGCTTTCAGGTAACTCACCTGTCTTCCAAAATCCTAGTCATTGAGCCATAAATCTCCAATGCGTGAATTTTCATGGGATGTTTCATTTCTTCCCAATCTTAGCACAAGCTCTGCCCATCCAGCTTTGTATAAAGACCCCAAATACTCAATTTACAAGGCCTTCAGAAGCTAACAAAAAGGTATTGATCAGAGCAAATGCCTAACTATTAACATGCTGCTTGCTTTTTCTTTAAATGCAATAATTTATTTGGGTGGCAGCATTTAAAAATACATCATAATACACAGTGATGCTGTGAAAACCAGACTTACGAAATTAAACACCCAGCTACAATCCCCATCTCTGAGTCCAAAACCTTCCACTCCCATCGGAGGTAATCAAGAATTCCGAATGGAAGAATTAGCTTTCAAATATTGTTACTCATCACAAACACCCATGATCATCTCTTCAAAAGTCTGTATAGTACTTAAAAATTTGGCTTCAGTATAACTTTATTAAAATTTCATTTTTTTGGAAATTGTGTTTTAGTCAATGATATATTTTTGCTCACTCATTGTATGACTATACCACAATCTGTCTTTCTGATGAGTGGCTATTTCCATTTTTTTACTATGATAAACAATGGTGTTAGGAGCATTTTTATGCAGATGACCTTGTGGATATGTGGACTTTTCCAAAGTAATAACTAATAAGAACAATAAAAATAACCATTATCATGACTACAAGTAGTACCACTAATAAGAAGAGTTACTTTTATGGCTGTGCTCGTCTGAAAGTTATTAACTCATTTATCCTAAGACTTCCATGAAGGAGATAAAATTATTAACTCAATTTTCCCATAAGAACAGATTAGAGACAATATTTATCTACAGAAAAAATTGTGTGCCTTATAAAATAAGGCCAAATTTTTCTAAAAGGGAACTTGTGCAAATCCGCACGCCCTTTACGAATATACAAATTGAGAATGTAAAAAGTGAGTAAATAACAGTGAGTATGTTAGTACTACCCTGCTTGCCCTCCAAAACATAATGTTGTCAGACTTAAAATTATGCTCCAACTGTATAGATAGATGGGTAACGTAGCATGAATTGAAGGAAAAAAATGTAGAAGAGAGATGGACAAACAGGGCTTGAGACTAAACAGAAATCAAACTTAAGGTAGGTCTATTGGGGAATAAGAAAATGTGGTCAAAGCAGATAAAGATTTAAAACTCAGGAACAAAGGCGCTCACTGGGGCGCTGAGTGTCCTGAACATGTCTGTCTGTGCGACAGAGCTGCCCTCTGCTCATTCTTCATTTTCCCAGTGTCTGCTTCTCTGTCAAAGATTATAGTGGGGATATCTAAATGAAATGCCAGACAATGGAAAATTCCTTCATCTGTGACTCTCAACTCTTCCCTACTTTTACCATTATGACTTTGCCATATGTGTTGTGTCCCTAAGCATCTCTGCTTTCTTTCTATTATGAATAATTCACCTAGCACAGAACAAATCAATAGCCTTCCTGTAACCTAAAGTTATCACTTTTCACCAGCTTTCATTCCTTATCTCCCCCAGGAGGAAATGTTATTATATATGACTGATCAATAGAGAAACACACCCAAACTATGGATGCAAGGAGATTAAAACCTCTTAGTACAAGTCACAAGGTCCCTAAGGAAGAAAGGAAGGATGGGAGGCAGGGAGGAAGGAAGGAAGAAACCAAGGAAGGGAGGAAGAAGGAAAGAAGGAAGAAAGAAAGGAAGAAAGTTTCTAAGTTAAAGACTGGAGGAGACCCATCCTCACCAGTCCATTAGTGTTAACCTTATAAGTACATAGGAACATTAAAGCAGTACAAATTGGAAACCACAGCAGTGTGAGAAGTGGAACTCACCATAACTACCAAAAACCCTTCCTTGTGAAAGAGCCCTTTCTACATTGCCTCCTGCAGAAATGGGGACATTTTTGTAAGCAAGCTATGTTAAAAAAAAAAAAATCAGGCCATGAGACGCATCTAGGCTCCAAAAACCAAAAGACTACATTTCCGTTAAACATTTGATTTTCGTTGTTGTGAATTCCACTCCCCGCTGACTCCTCTCCCTACTCAACAATGAGGCCTCCCTAAAACACTACACTCTAATTCTCAATGGGAGAACTTCCGATCTCTGAAAATTCTACAACCTTATTAAAGTGAACCTAGCCCAGTATGCTCCATTGCCCTACAGGACACCTCTTAACCACAAGCAAAATGTATACCATGTATTCTGTTTTTAGAGTTCTGTTCCTCTAAGAAAATAGGTCAGATTCGAGTATGAGAAAACATTTTGCAGCTCACTTTTAAAATGCCAGAAGCTCTACTCGCAAAAGTTAACATTTACCAAATGTTCAACCGAACAAAAGATTTATGCATGTTACTGATATTTAATGTAAGAAAAACACTTGTGAAAATAATTTTCTGGTTCTAGGGTGTCATTTTATTTGGAGGAATGCACTGCATTTCAAACTAACACTGTTCAAAAATAGATGCACCACGATATCTATACTATGCATAATAGAGAGATATGTCATAAATGGCACCACTGTGTGACGAGCTCTAATGTATTACTACTCAGGGTTGTTTGTTCACCAATTATGACCTATGTACTTAAGAGTAAGGTGGTCCTGCAAATGACTAAAGTGCTAGAAAAGCCACAATCATCCTGTTTTTTTCCATGATCTATTCACTGGTTACGATTCGATACATCTTGGAAATACTGGATTCTAAGGGAAGGCAGATGAAGCAACAGTCCTCTGAAACTGACAAGACTGATGAAAAACACACAAAAGGGTTTATTATTGCATGTTCAATATGAATGATAATCTCCTTGTGGTGTGATTAAATGACGACGAATGTGTCATTAGGGGATTGATTACAATAGAGGGGAACCATCTGGCAAAGTTCAACTAAGTACAAAAACAGAAATAATTAGTAAAGATAATGCGTCCCTATCAAATGGATAGGGGAACAATAACAAGTTCAAAGGCAGTATAGATAAATCTGACAGCTTCATTCCCAATTAGTTCACTTCTAATAGAAGTAGAAATAAATAGGAATAAAATACCTATTGGTTTTCATTCAGTCAAATAATTGAAATGTGTACCACAAATATATGGGTTCTTCGTAACTTTGTGAGCAAAGTACAGAAGCTATCAGATTCAGGTTGGCCATGGGTCCATGAGGGGTACCCCGGGCAGCCGCCCAGACAGCTCCTCCGTGAGATTCGGGTGTACAAACCGATTGAGCTGGCTGCAGGCTCAGTCCTGTGGCTCTCAAAGAGGGGGACAGGGTCAGCCCTGCACCCCAGGCCATCTTTATAGGACTGGGAATTGGGGAACCAGGTATCAGTACTTACACGGCTCTCAACCAGGTGGTCTTCAAACGGGCACTGTCAGTGTCTTCCCCCACTTTGCCACACAGGATTCAATGGAGAACATGAGGGCCTCATCATTCTTTAGTTAAAAAAAAAAAAAAATTGTAAGTCACCATACAGCTCAAGACAACTATAAGAGAACTGCCGTGCTCAGGGCAAGCAGAGACCCACCATCTCCACCTCCACTGGGAAGCAAGACCTTGACCTAGAAACAGCTTTTGAGCACAGAGCCCAGGACGACCCTCTCTACCGAGTCGGGGGGCAGGGGACTGAACTCATACAAAGAGCAGACCAGCCCGGTGGACCACGCCAGGCACACGCAGGCTGAGTCACAGGTTGGTACCCGTCCTCTTGAGCCAGCCTCCACATGCTGAGCCTTGGCTTTGCTCTGAGCAGGTGTTCCCACCCACAGCCAACAATTTACAGACTCATGTGAGGCTCCTTGAACGGGGTCTCATCTGATTGGTGCTCACTCTTGCCCACAGTGAGCAGGTCACCCCATGGTGCAGCTGTTACAAGCCGGTAATAGACTAAGTCAGTAGTTATCATTCCGGGGTTGGGAAACCACCCTGGCCCTGACTCGAAGACATTCTCACGTTTTCTGTCCTTCCTTTTCCTCTCTCCTAATGGATTCAACTCATATCTGACATTTTCCCTCCACCGTCCCTGCCCACCCAGCTGACTCAGGAAATGAGGCCTGAAGGCCAGAGCCAGCTCTGAACAGTCAGAATCGGAGCCACATCTGCCACAAGGGTGAGGGTGCCAAATGGGACATTGTACAGAGGCGAGGTATTAGGGCGTGGCAAGGTAGGGGGTGCTGGGTCCCTCCATGCTTCCCTCAGGCTCCCGTTCTCCATACAGCAGAACCCTGTACCTTCGTCCACTGTGGCAGAGGTCTGCATGGGGAAGGTGGAGCCCTCTTGCCTGCCCCAACCCCAGGGAACGCAACAGTGCTGCTCAAATGTAGACAGAGGACAGTCAAGCCCAAGGCATATGAGCAGGAGTGGGGGCCATCTTGGGTTCACGGAGCAGAAACAACCTGGGACCCCTGGGCAGGTATAGGTGCCAGGAGAGGTGCTGAGCACTCAGAACTCTCATAACCCTGTGAGGGGTAGAGTAGGGGTGGCACATTCTGCCATCGGCATCGTCCCCCAGCCCTGCTGCCTTCCTCCCCATGCCTTTTCCCAGCTTCTTTCTGAAGGGCCTGTTTCAAGAAGGAGTAGGAAGGAGGGGAAGGAGCTACCGGCAGGACCCACTGCACCTGCAGAGCTCTGAATGGAGGCCAGGCAACCCCAAGGGCCCGGGCTGTGCCAGGGGCACTGCAGTCACAGGATCAGGTCCACTGACACATCCCTGAGCTGTGCTGGCTCCTTCACCCTCATGGATCCCATCTCCTTCTGCCCTCCATCACCACCTGCCCGCCTCATCCACCCCCGCTCCTCATCACAGAGAAGGGGTGTCGCTGCCTTCTCTGCTCCACTCTCCTGCTTTCCCTTGCCCACCTGATCCTCCCTGAGGCTCGCTCAGCTCTTCCTGCCTGTCCCACCACAGCTGTTTTGCTCCCCTCACCTGTAGGATGCGTCCGGCATCCCTGACAGCCTCCTCCTCCTCCCTAAGTTGAGTCTGGTTCCTTCCATGGTGATGCTGGGAGCACCTGCACCTGACTTCCCTAAAGCACTGAACCAAACGAGACAGTAACCCCTTCAGTCCCCAGCTCCTCCAGGCCCCAGCTTCCGGTCCCTCCCTACCCAACTCCTGTTCTCTCTCGGATGCCCCCACACTGGCCTCAGGCATCTGCTGTGTGGAGCAAAACTGTGGGCAGACGCCTGTGTCCTCTCAGAGCAGCCAGTGGGGGCCAAGGCCTCCTGCTGAGAGCACTGCCCGAGAGGCACGGGACACTGGCTCACCCAGGCCTGGCCTGGTGTACAGTAACCCGGAGCCTCTGCTGACACCCTGAGCCCAGCCGCTTTAGAGCACCACAGCCCTCTCCACCCCAGGTCCTCCGTATTTCAACTTGAGCACCCAGAATGCCCAAGATCATTCATGGTGCTTTAACTCTGTCACTGGGTGTATGCATTATATAGATATTGAGTATATAGATTATTATTGTCAATAATACATATAATGTGTGAGATACAGTATGGCACATTATAGTAAAATTATATTCACATATGTAACAATGAATAAAATGTATATACCTTCATTCTTCTTACACACAATTCACTACATATATATACATACAGCTGGAATTATATTTATGTAACATGTATTTCTCAAAGGTGAACTCATTGAAATAAACAGCTGTAATCGGCTTTGCGCTTCTATTGCTGCCCGTGGTCGAGTTCATCGGAGGCTCTGCCTGCCCAGACATTACTGAAGCTCCCTCTTAGGAGCTCACAGCTGTTGGATTTCTTTTTCCCACCTGGATCTCCCTCATTTTCCATCTTGGAAACATTTGGAAGATTCAAGATGATTCCAAGTCATTCTCATTCTCACTCATTCTCTCTCTCTCTCTCTCTCTCTCTCTCTCCTTTCTCCACCCTCCATGTCCTCACATCCGTGTTTGACCTCAACAGTCCCCGAAATGCCTTCCCACATCCTGGACGGCACAGCTCGCAGCCTTGGACCTGACAGAAAAGGACCCTCCACCTGGGACCTGTATTTCCATCCCCGCAAAGGGGCTGACCCGACCTGGATTGTTCGCTCACCCTGCCCGGTCACAGTTACCCGAGGGGAGGGCGCCCCAGGGGCTCTACCTGGTCCCACACCTTTCTGGCCATGGATGAGTGTGGCATTCTGTGCCTGGCTACCCTGTGACAACAACAAGTGGTAGACAAATTCTCTTTGGATGAAGAATCCGGTTGTCACTGGCTGCGCACTTACGCTCCAGTACGATATCCTCCTCAGTAGACATTAGTAGCATACAGAGAACTCAAAAGCTCCGTCAAACACGTTCAATACACTCAGCGATCAGACCTCCGCATACCCCGTGATGCCAGGAGCCACCACATGCCGTGGTGCTGCCTTTGTCTGAGGCACCAAAACTCCTTTGTTTCATAGATGACAGATTTGGAGCAAGAAGTGGGAGCTTGGTTCTTGAGAGCTGATGTTATGGCACAGCAGGGTAAGCCACTGCTTGCCATGCCAACATGCCATACTGGAGTGCCAGTTAAGAGTCCCGACTTCCACCCAGCTCCCGGCCAAGGGTAAAAACAAAACGTGGACGATGTAGCAAGTACCTGGACCCCTGCCACCATGTGGGAGTACCGGATGAGGCACTGGGCTCCTGGATCTGCCCAGACATTTGGGGAGTGAACTATAGAACAGAAGATACTTCTGTCTTTTCCCTCTCACTCACTCTCTACCACCTCTGTCCTTTCGATTCTCAAATAAATAAGGAAATGTGTGAAGAAATTTTGCTTGTTGAAAATTACTGCCATTCCTACAACTATACAAGAGCTGGCTGACAAGAGACGGCTTCCGTCTTGAACTTCACGTTGAACTCACACAAGGACCCTGCTGGCTCCGCTGTCCTTCGGCCACTCGCTGGCTGGGCCGGAGCAGCTCAGGGGGCATGCGCACTCACTGACCAGTGAGCAAACGTGGGACACAGGAAGTGGCCTGCCCTCACGTCACTTAGCAGAGGGGCACGGAGTCGGGGATTTTCAGAAAGGATTCAAAGGTGACTAACGCCAACACTGCTCCACTCCACTCCTCTTTCCTCATGTGAACCATTCCAGAAACATCCTCCCCTGCTCAGATTTCAAGGCTGCTCCGCCCCTGGGACAATGCCGAGGAGCGTGGGCTGTTGGGAGGTGACCTGTCCTGTGTTCGGGCGGACTGTTTCTCTCCTGTATCTCTCTGAGGATAGAGCCGTCCTGTTTCCAGCTTCTGTCTTATATCCGAAACATTGGCTGCCGCACCTTGGCTGTTTGTTTTTTTATTAAGATTTATTTTTGTCAGAAAGTCAGATATACAGAAAGGAGGAGAGACAGACAGGAAGATCCCATGGCCAGAGCTGAGCCGATCTGAAGTCAGGAGCCAGGAACTTCTTCCAGGTCTCACATACTGATGCAGAGTCCCAAGGTTTTGGGCTGTCCTCAGCTGCTTTCCCAGAACACAAGCAGGGAGCAGGACGGGAAGTGGGACAGCCACGATAGGAACTGGCACCTATATGGGATTCTGGTGTATGTGAGGCAAGGACTTTAGCTGCTAGGCTACCGCACTGGACTCGACTGCTGCAACCTTTATACCCAGGACTCATGACTCTCCTTCTCCTCTCCCATCTCACTTCCTGCAATAAAAGACAAACCCTGAAAGCCCCCCTCAGAAAATACAGCCATGGACAGTCCCTCACCTCGCCTGCACAAGAGGAACCACTCTCTGTGCCCTAACCCTGAGTGCAAGCCACCTTGGGGGAGGGCTCATGGGTCATCAATGAGTTTGTGACCACCTGGCTGGTAGGACAGATCTGCCTTAGGGAAAGCTAATCTGGGGCCACCTCTTGGGCTTAGAGAGAACCCACTGAAAACTCCATTTGAACTTAGAATGTGGGGCCTTTGTGACGTAAGACCACGTGGAGATCACCCTCTGTTTAGACTGACCAGAATCTGAAGTCGAGAGGCCAGGTGAGGCTGCTATGCCCGTGGCTCCGGCATCCCACACTGCTCTGCTTCGGATCCAGCCCCCTGCCAATGGCCTGGGAAGGCAGTGCAAGGCGGCCCAAGTCCTTGGCCCTGGGCACCCGTCAGGGACAGCTGGATCAAGTTCTGGGCCCCTGGTTTGGGACTGGCCCACCCCAGCTCTTGCAGCCATTTGGAGATTCATCCAGTGGTTGGAAGAGCTCTCTCACTTCCTGTACCTCCCTCTGTTACTCTGCCATATTGATAAGTTAAAAATCAATCAATAAGCATTTCATCCACGTACAGTAAACCACAGGATAATCGCTGATCATTAAAATTATAGTGGTGTTCAAAGTCTATATACCTATTAAGATTGTTTTGCTCTTTGCTTGTTAAACTTATCAGGTGAAGTAGAAAGCCTTTTAACATGATGCAAATGCAACCTATCTCACAAGTT